CTCGCGTTTACAGCCTCACTAAACAGTAGAGCTGCTTCAATAAAACCAGGTATTGATCCGTTGATCAGCTGATCAGAATACTTTTGTGAAAGTTTCTAAATGTTTTATGAAATTCAATTAAAGAGAATGAAAATATGTTTATAAACATGGACATTTAAAATAAGTATAAAAAGATACAATTAAATAAAAAAGATATGAACAGAGGAAGGTACAGTAAAAAGGATAACAAAATTGTTTTAATACAAATATCTTTTTATAAACTTAAGAAGTACAAATGTTCACATTGTATAGTACTACAGCACATAACATGTATATGGGCTATTACAAAAATTAGCTTTCCTGCTTTTTCCCTTTTCTACATCATATTAAAGTGAACGTCTTTGAAAGATTGAGAAACAAATCTGCCGATGTGATCCTGTTTGAGTTGTTTTGCCATACAGTGCATGAGATGCTCTTACATTTCAGATGAGATGTTGTGTAAAATAAATTAGCCGAGGGCTGCACTTCCTGCTTCGCTGCTGCAGAGCTCAGAGCTCCAAAGTGAGCTCTTATTGTCCCACAAAGATACATCAGTACATAGATAATCACATTAAGAGAGGAGAGCTCTAAACAGGTTCATTTAACCAGAAAAGGATCCAAAGTGCCCCCTACCTGCCTCCATACTCCTGCTGCTGCTGCTTCATTAACGCAGCATCATATTTAATTTGTTGCTCGTTAAAGGGGGGGGGGGGGGTTCCACCACAGTGCTGCGGGGAAGAAGTCTGCCTGCATGCTCTCTTAGCTTCCTGCTTACTCGTTCGCCTCCTTCATGGTGCGTCTCATTCATTAAATCTCACCAGACTCTTGTTGCAACAAAAGCGGCACCAGAAGGCAGCCATTGCTCTCACACACAGATCTCCTGCCTCTTTGCCGCCATGACAGAGGGAACGTGTGGCAGCAATAAAACTAGATTGTAATTCATGGTCCTCAGGCAAACAGTGCAAACTTTTAAGTATTTGTCTGTGTGCCTGTAGCAACTAGCAGTCATCAGATTCTTCAGCTTGAGTGCATTTCTGGGCTTTCTGTCCAACATTCGCTCCAACCCCGATTTGTAGTGTTGTTTCTCTTGGCAGTGCCTGCGGTGAAATGTGAACAATGAGCACAGCCTCCTGCTAAGACGAGTTCAAGATCATCGTTTAGAAACTACAATAACACACAGGCTCCTCTGTCCTTCAGCTCAGCTTGATTACAGAAGGAAAGGAGGCTACAAATATCAGAAGTATCAATAGAGTGGTGCAGGAATGAGTCCTGAACCTGGAAATGAGTCGGCATCTTACAGGGGTCATTAAAAACCTGGAAAAGTCATGGAAATTCAAAATGCTAATTCCAGGCCCTGGAAAAGTTATGGAAAACAATATTTTTCCCAAAGTTTTGGAAAAGTCATGAAAATTTAACTAAAGTTGCATCAAATATAATTTATATTTTATCCATCTAATAAATACTGTATCGTATAGTAATGAAAAATAAAATGGTATAACTGTCGAGGTATTTTGCCGGTGAGAGATTTGAGTTGCTTTAGCGTGTAGAAGCTAGTAAGCCTATTTGATTTGTTTTAGATAGGCACAACATGTTTCATATGCAGACCTTATTTTCCTGTTCCATGTTCAAATAAACCATTTTCAGTGGTACGCTGAGAAAGAGTCATTTTTTTGGTCATGGAAAATTAGGTAAAGGTCATGGAGAAGTCATTGAAAAGTCATTGAAAATCATTGGTGAAAAAGTGTATGAACCCTGATCTTAGCACTCCATGGTTCATTCCTCTAAAAGACAAGGTTTTTTAAGTTGGTTTTGGTTAGATGCCAGAATTAGCATTTCTACCACTTCCGGTTGTGAGTTCTACAAAAAGACGACATCCCTGCACCTCTCGATGCATCATTGTGTTCAGGCATTGTCATCGTGTTGCTGAACAGCTTTTAATCTCACAACACAAGATCTCATTTAGCTCTGGCCAGGTCTCCTAAGTATTATAATAGGCTTTCCTCTGTGCACACTGCCTCCTCGGATAAGCCACAAGAAGACTTGATATAAGATAATGTGTAATCGGATGAATATTATCTGCCCCCTCTGTCCCATCTCCTGGTCTCTATCTCCCTTTTTCCCCTTTCTTTCTCGGTGACCGGGTTCATTTCCAGCGCTCCCTAAAGTAGCCCTGCCATTTTGGATGATCCATTTCCCCGTTATCAGACAGATTATTGTGAATGCTCTCTCTGAGTATCCCCCTCCTCAGCATATCCCATCTCTAATGTCTCTATCTTATAAGTCTCCCATTCTCCTTTCCCTGTAATTCCTCTCCTATCTTTTACTCTCCACTTCAGGCACCACACAGACTCAAAGAGCTTAGTCTCATTTCACCTTTTAACATCTTGTTCTGTAAAACACTTTTAGGTTTTAGTCTAAAAATCTCTATGAACTCTTCCCATTTTAAGTTCAGGAATTTTCAAGAGATCATGTTATAGTGAGTATAACTCTGCAATAGTTTTAATGTCCATGAATCATAAGCAAACATACAATGTGATGTAATTAGCTTAGAGCACTGGATATTCCTTGTTCATAATTCCTAATAGTAATAATCATTATGAAACATTGTTTTATTTATAACTTATACGTTTAAGTTGATCATAATACTTAATTTAGTTGATGGTCACTTACTGACCTTTTTTGTAAGCGCTACAAACACTTCCATTATATGATTATACTTCATATAGTATCATAATAATGCATTATATGGCAACAATTATAATTTGACAACTGTAATACACAATGATACCTGTCCTGACCTTTATTAGTCATCATCAAATGCTTTTATTATTATTTGTTATAAAGCAATGTGAATGTGCTTAGAATTGAAAGGATATAGTGGTATAAGCAGATATAACACAATAGTTCATTTAAACAGCATTATAGACATGGTGATTGCTCAGGCAGCGCATATGACACATTGGAATTCATACAGAGAAGATTAGCATGGCCCATACATAAAGATGACACACACATTTGTGTCATAGAAATTGTTACTGAAATATAACATGCAGTGCATCCGCTCACACTAAAGTTTCTTAATGTAGACATTCATTCAAAACTGTTTCCCCATACCCAGCAATGTACATTTTTCCAGCTGATAGTCATGATCATATTCAGCGTCTCAAAATAACAAAATAAAAAAAGGCCTTTGTTTTGCTACAAGAACACTTGACATGTTTCCTCTCATCAGCCTTTCCAGTAAACACAGTCAGCTCCTCACGTACTAAATCAATGTGTCACCAATGAGTCTGTTAGTGGTTTCCATACCCCCATTTGTACGGCTTTTAGATGAGTTAATCTGCATCAACATGCTCCAACAACACCAGCGTGAGTAACACCTTTCACTACCCTGCAGCCAACTCTGGATCAGCTGTAAAAGCCTGTTTGAACTTCCGACGTGACCGCACCCCATTTGCGTCGCCTCCCGTTTGCTCCCTGGCTCTAATCTCATTTCATGTTACCGAGGCGTACTCCTCTACATCTGCCAGGCTGCTGATGGCACGCACTTCCTCCTCTGCCTTACACAATGCTTTTCAAACGGCACCACGGTTCCAGCGAGGGGGGGATTTGGAGAAAGTTATTTTTGTTCTCCTTTCAGTATAAAAGATTTAACATGGTCCCATCTTCACTCGCTGTTCTCTTTCTGCCAGTACTAGCTGCGTTCTTTATTTAGAAACAGGCCGTTAGGATGGATGATGGATGTAGGTTACCTCACTCAGATGTGACGTAGGAGCCGGATTCTGGGCCAGGCTGATGCATACCGCCTGGAGTTTAGACAGGAGATCAGGGACAGGGTCCACTGGGGCTGTGAGGCCTCTCTGGGACCCGTTGTGACTCAACTCCCAGACTGCGTCACTTCGTAGACCCTCAGGGGGGTTTGTCATGGCGCCGAGGGAGCTTGGTCTGGGGCTCAGATGTGATTTGTTTAGGAAATGCATATCAAACTATTTAAAACAAAGCCTTCCTTACAGGTCAATGCGTTTCAAACAAGGGCTGCACAACTAACAAAATATGGACTAGTGCAATATCCAAATCACAGACAAGGCTAAACGTGTCTAAACATCATAATTACGTTTTGCTGAGCTGAAGAGATTTCCCAAATTGAAGAAAAAGGGATTAAAAGAAACATTTGAAAACATGAATACATGCCGACTCACTAAACTCTTCTGTGCTGCACTTAAAAAAAACGTCAAGACTCGAGCAAGAAAACGAAGGGGTGTCCTGGGTCATACATTGTAAGCATGCCAGACAAATAGGCAGGTGCTTTGAACATATTGAGTTTTAAATCAATCCACAAACTGACAGGGAACCAATGTAAGGACTTGAAACTAGCTCTTATGTGTTCTCTCCTTCTGGTCTGAGTTTCAAATCAATAATAATTAAAGGGGTTAGTCAGCGCTCTAGTCTTTGACATTGTAATCTTCAGTGGTGTTTTCCTCCTGTTCAGAAGTATTGGATCTGGGCTGATGCCAAATCTGTGAACGGCTATTTAGGTCAGCGCCTCTCCTTATCCCTTCCCTACATGTATTGTTGTTTTCACGTCTACACAAGCAGTCTTGCTCATGTTAGCGCTGCCTCTGAGGGTTTCCTCTGGCACTCTAAGTGACTCACGGGTGACACAGCAGAGTCCTGCTCCCTGTCACATCAGTTCTGGGCCTCTGTAGGACAGGTCTGACCGCCTCGTGGACCTGATGTTGACCCTGAGCCGTAGCGTGACAACTCTTAGCTTCAGTCACTTTCAATTACTCCTAATCCTCTCCAATTGTAAATGAGGAAATCACCATCTTTTTAAGCTCATTAAAGAAGTCTGTCTCATGGGGATGTTGACTGACAGTAAGCCCAGATTACACCAGTAGAGATATTAATGATGAAGAGATACCATCATTGTTTCCCCAGATCTCTTTTCAGTATTTCTTCATTCTTTGTTTTTGTTTCTTCAGGACTCCAACCGGCACGCCTGCATCATCTCGCCCTGCCACAGGCCCAACCCGGACCCCCACCTCCAGCACAGCCAAGAGCTCCCCAGCTACTCCCAAAACTACCACCCCGAAAACCTCCTCCACCACCACCGCCAAGCCTGCGGCCTCCAGACTAACCTCCACTACCCCCTCTGGTGGCAAGCCTCCGGCATCACAGACATCCAGAACCACAACCCCTGTGAAGAAAGGTAAATAATGGACATATAGCCATTCATTGATTTTGAAGACATTCCCTTTTTCCTGTATCTCAATATGCTGTAGTTCTGTTCAATTCTGTCATTCTTAACCATTCCTTGTGCTGTGTTTCCCCCAGATGTTACCAAACCTGCTGCTTCAGCATCCAAAAAGCCATCAGACTCCCCCCTCACCCGCCCCCCCATCACAAAGTCGGTCAAACCTGAGACCCCCAAATCCGCCTCGAAATCAGACGTCCCAGCCAAAAAGCCTGCAGCCAGTAAGGACACAAAGACGCCCACCCGGCCTAAAACTGAGAGTAAGCCAACTCCTTCCAAGGCTCCTGGCTTGAAAACATCCAAGACCCCCGCCCCCAAGAAAACGGTGGGCAGCAGCACCCCGACTCCAGTGAAGCGCGGCCCCAAAGCGGTGTCTGAAGCAGCGCCGGCGAAAGAGATAGCTGCTGCTGCTGCTGCTGTAGCCGCCGCCGCAGCTATCGCTACTGCTGCTGCTGTCATAGCCGGGCCAGAGGGACCAGAACCAGCTGCTGCTGGGGAACCACAGCTGATGTCCAGCCAGCCCGAAGCGGTACAAGAAAAAACTCCAGAACCTACACCAGAGCCTGAACCAGAATCATTCCAAGTGCGAGAAACATCTCCAGAGCCCCTCCCAGAACCCCTGTCAGATGCAGAACTTGGAGCAGCCTCTGTCAATCAGTTGTCGGCTGATTTAGACCGCTTTAAATTCTCCGCGTCTGCTAAAGACACCTCCCTGGGAACCACCGTCATGTCTCCTCCTTCCTCTCCTCTGTGCCCGGCCTCCTCTCTGCTGGACATGCAGGTCCAGGCTGATCCCTGGGACCGGAACCAGGACATGGCTCCGTCTCACTTTGCTCCCCAGAGCCTCGTCTACACAGAGGAGGAAAAGGAGAATAAGGACCAGTTTGAGACACAGCAGGATGAGGAGGAAGAGGAAGAGGAGGAAGAGGAGGAGAAGGAGAACCTGTTCATGCCTTCCTCCAAAGCTCCATCTGCGGGCGCCTTCAACCTGATGGCACAGCCTCAGATGGATGCCCTGCTCTCCCCCCATGAGAAGGAGGAGGCGGTTGAAAAGGCTGACGAGGAGATAAACGAGGATGATGAGGAGGAGGATGACGAAGACGAGGAGCAGAGGCGACTGGGCCACCTGCCTTCCCCCCTGGGCACCGACATGAGCACGTCTCAGCCCTCCGAGGAGTTCGCTGTGCGTCCCTCTGCCTTCGGGGGGTCTGCGGGTTGGCACGGCGACGACCTGCTGTCCGGGCTGGACTCGGAGGACGTGAGCAGCTGCAGCCGGCCGGCGGGCGAGTCGGACCTGAGCAGCACGCAGCACACGGCCCTGCTGGAGGGCACGCAGAGCTCCGACGCCCTGGTGGACTCCAGCCTACGAGGGTCAGAGGGAGACGGGAACCTCATGGGATCCCCCAACGTGGAGACCCTCGCCAACGAGGAGGAGGAAGACGAGGAGGACGAGGAGCGGGTGGACGACATGGACCTGAGCTCTGAGAGAGTGGAGGAGCATCACAAAGGGCTCCAGCAGCAGCAGCAGCAGCAGCAGCAGGAGGAAGAGGAGGATGACGAAGATGTGGAGATGCACAGTGAAGGAGTGACGGAGAGCGGAGGGAACGTAGACGAAGACGACTTCAACGAGGAGGAGCGCTTAGACAACCTGAACCGCTCTGCTGCTCCTCCCTGCGCCCCCCCCACCTCCTCCTGGGGTCAGACCAACCCCTTCTGTGATACCTGGGCTCAGTCGGCCACCGTCCCCTCCCCCAGACCCCTCTCTGACCTCGGGGCGGCTGAATCAGTGACCCCTGTCCTGTCTCCGGCTCACATGGCCAGCAGCGCCGCGTCCTTTGCTCCTGGGTCAGTGCAGGAGGAGATGATGAAGGACTCTGAAGATGACGAGGCTCATGGATTGTTTGCCGCCGCAGCAGGAGGCGCTGCCCCCGTCGCCCGTAGCAACAGCGAGACGAGCACGCCCGAGGAGCTCCGTGACTACGACAGCAGCTCGGGGGTGGAGTCCCGCTCCGACAAGCAGCAGACCCCGGTGCCTCCTCACCAGGCCGACATGGAGCAGGACCTGGGCATCCACCTGGAGAAAGGAGACGGGGAGGAGGAGGAGGCCGAGACCCTCCCCGCCGACGAAGTCCTAGGAACGGGACCCCCGACCGCCCCTGCCTCCGCCCCCTCCTCCCCCTCCACCTCAGGAGACGAGGCCAGCGACACAGAAGGCGAGATGCAGATCAACGACCCCGACGCACCACTGATGATGGACGAGAGCGCCCGGTTCGAGAGCCCCCCCCCCACCTGCAGCCTGCCCGCTCTGACGGAGGACGAGGAGGCTCGCGGCGGAGAGGGCGAGGAGGACGGAGGCGGCACCACCCCGCAGTCGGCCAACTCGGTGGCGTCTTACGGCTTCGACTGCACCACGTCCAACTCCAACGCCCACTCCATGGCCGAGAGCTGCGGGAAGAGCCCCGGCATCTTCAGCCTGGAGAACGAGGAGCAGCTGTCGGAGGAGGCCAAGGACCCCTCCCTCATCAAGGAGCTCACGCTGCCCTCCGCCGCCGCCGCCCCCGTGGACCTGACGCCTTTCGGGTTCCCGGGAGACGTCCAGCACGGAAGTCTAGACGAGTACATGCTGGGGGGGAAGATGGCGGCGGAGCACCTGGAGGAGGTCGACCCGCTGGAGCCCCTTCACCACCTCGGGGGGGCCGTGGAGTCCGGAGACCCCGGAGACAGCCAGCCGCCGTACTACTCTACCATTTGTGATAAGACTGATAGTTTTCTGGCAGGTAACGTATAAGTCCCTCCTCTCACCCCCTGAATGCACCTTTTCCCCCGCACCCCCCCCCCCCCCCCCCCCCCCCCCCCCCCCCCCCAACCCACACCCAGTTACCTGTTGTTTGTTTTCTCTCCAGTTGGGTTAGAAGGCTTAGAAACAAAGATTGTAGGAAAAGATTAAAAAAAAAAAAATGAACAAAGGAGATGGAATAAAAAAAATGACTGTAGCAATTTTTAAATGAAGCCTCCCTCTTTCATATGGTCATGGTTATGAGTGTACGGCTTACTATGTACAATAGCTACTACCATTTTCTAGTAGAATGTTCTTTTTAAGTAACACTGCATACCCTGAAGCCCCTGCTGGGGACTGACTGACTGATCGGTCCGCTGGGACTGAGCTTTTAAAACCGAGAAAAAAGAAAAAAAAAACTGACGGAAAGAAATGGACTCATTGTGTATTTATCCTGCTGTTTTTACCGAACAAATGTCGATGATTTCTTTTTGTTTTGTATTTGCATATTTGTGTTATTATTTTCTGTTGAAACCTGGTCCTCCCCACCCCGTGTACACGCTTCATGTTCGACCGCACCATAGCGATAGTCACATGCTCCTTCTTTGTGTTTAAAGACTTTTAGCTATCAAAATAAAAGCTAGATATTAACACGGCAGACTTGTTTGAGGTAGGTGTGGGAGTGTTAGATTGCAGTTGGTGAAGTTTTAAATGTGTGCTTTACGAGGCTCTTCGCATTGGTTGTTACGGTATATAACGTGCAGTCACGTACAGTATGTGTTTCAGGCGTTTTGGTTAGCTGATCATATGTGTTCCAGAAGAGACCACAACTAGCCTTTTATTTGTGATGGGACCCTGCATTGTCCTCCATCGCTATCACAGCCCAGCTTTACACTCATAGCGAGCGTTTGGTTTACTATTTCAACAGTATATTGCATGTTTAACTAACATAAAGACTGTACTACCTTGACTTTGAAACAATTCTACACTAGCCATGTTCATAACTGAATGGTTCACACTAGGTTATCTTTCAAAATTCCATTAAAACATCATTACAAGGCATTCTGTTCCTGTTTCTTATTTTCCCGATGGATCCAGCATGCTGAACTTTCTGTCCTCGTGTCCGAGTCGCTGTGTCTCTGTATGTCTCCACAACCTGTTCCCATGGCAACTCCTACTCTCCACCATGGGAATAACCAGTAAACAGGAAGTGATGCAACATTGTACAATGGTGTTGTATATATAAAATGGAATTTTGGTCAAATCAAAGAGGTAATGGTGTCCCTGCTCCATGTTTATGACCTCATGACATTTTCAGATAATACAGGTGTTGCTCACCTAAAGGTACCCTGTGTAGGTTTGAGTTTAAGCGTCAACAAACACGCTGAATGTGTCTCGTATAACAATTTATAAGATTAATATACAACTTGAATCCTTTGGTTTTCTACATCCATGTCCACTAGATTGAAGTCTTCTTTGCCTTTGTTGGTGCAAGACTTATTTTGTTGGGAGTTGTATCATCACCAACCGTCGATCAATGGTAGGACAGCTACCAATTCTTTTTTTACAATCAAGGTTTATTTTCACGTCTTTAAAAAGATCCTAAGTGATATACTCAGATGTAATGAGCTAGCCCTTTTATTCTTATATCAACTTTCTCAACCCATTATACAGTAATCAACTAATTGTATATATTTGATCATTCTAAAATGGAAACAATATATAAATATGGAGATTGCTTTCTTAAGATTCAAGGTTTCTTAAATCAAAGTAAACTGAATATCTTTGGGATTCATACTCGTACAACAAGACAAGGCATCAACTTGGTCTGTCAAACTAGGATGGACAATTTTTTTAATCAACCATTTTGATTAAGGAATTAATTGTCAGCTTATAAATGAAGCTTAAAACAGATGGTTACAGTCCTAAAGAGACGAATCACATGACACCAGTTACTCGCGCAAAGAAAAACAGACCTAGGGGTAACACTACTACTTAACTTCACAGGGTACCTTTAAAAGCAATTACGCAGGATATAAAAACAAGGTGACAGTTACTAAGATCTGTCTGCATCATCCTGAATGTCTCACACACACACACACACACACACACACACACACGTACTGAACCAGCCCTTCTACCCTTGAATGCATCCGAATGTTGAAGCTCCAGAAGAACTTCTAAACCCTTTCGTGCCTTTCTCCTGCTCGCTCCTCTTCATCAAAACCCTGATATGGAAAAAGACCCTTTTGTCTGAAAACGTCACACGTTTTCTAAAGTCCTGATCAAGGTTTGTGTTTTGGTACACCACTGCTTTTATTTAGAACATCTACATCACTAAGGGCCTCTGAAATAAGGCAAATCAGCCGCCTTTAGCATCATCTACATGACTTGGTGAATACAAACATGACCTTTCTGTGATGTTTTGTGTCGGTGAAGTCCTCCATGTTGTCATTTGTCCTTTTAAATGTCTATATGTGTAGATGACTGCTGTCCTGCATGATAACCTACGACTTCATCGGTGACAAGGCAGCAGATATGAGTGTGCTATACCTGTGTAAGATAGCTAACAATATTAAAGCAATCCCAGGAAAATATCTTCATATCAAAGAAAATGCAACTTTAGAGAGAAAACATCATGCGGTAACTACCTTATGATTTGATTTGTACAAACTGTGTATTTACTCCTGTGTCATGGATGTCACTTTATTTTTGAGAGCCCCGTATATTTTCAGTTTTGGTTGCACCTCCGCCCTCGTGTCGACTCTCTCTCCTGAACCCTGTTCCTCCCGGTCCCTGTTGTCGTGCCACCCGCTCTGTTTGATGCATGCATCTCTAACGGATGCACCAAGTGATCTTGACTGTCTCACAGGAGACGAGAAGACGGACCAACACGTGGACGAACATCTGCAAACGCTCTCGCAGGAAGACAACTGGAACCAGAACCACAGCGATGACGACGATGATCCCGTGGGAAACGGACACTACTTGGCTCTGGTGCCCGGCAACAGGAGGCCCATCGACCCGACTGTCGCGGCTCATTTCGCTGACATGGCCCCCCGTTCTCCTCTGATAGAAGCTGCTACCGCCGGAGGAGAGCAGCTGAGAAAGCTGGAGCAGCACCAGGAGAAGCTGAAGGAGATGCAGCACCGTCAGGAGCAGGAGCGGCAGAAGAGGCAGTGGCTGGAGGAGGAGCGTCTGAGGCTGGATCAGCAGAAGCAGCTGGAGCAGCAGCGCAGGGACCTGCTCCAGCTGCAGCTCCAGCAGCAGCAGCAGCACCGGCAACGCAGGCAGGTCCTCCAGTGGCAGCTGGAGCTGGAGCAGCAGTACCGCATGCAGCAGAAACACCTCCAGCAGCAGCAGCAGCTCAGGAGGAGCCCCACTGGAGTCATGCTGTCTCCGTCCTCCGGGCTCTGCACCATCTACGAGGCGATGGAGACGAGCGACGAGGAGGACGGGGAGCAGAACAGGAAGCCCTCTGCTCAGGGAGCCAATCAGGACTTCCAGCTGCGCCCGGTGCCTCCTCAGGACCTGGAGTGGAACAGGAAGGTGGACATGGTGCAGCAGCTCATCAACCAGACCCTGATGCTGTCCGGAGACGGAGGCCTCCCCCCTCTCCTGCTCCTCCCCGTGGGCACTGGAGGCACCTTGAGCCCCCTGGAGAGCAGCCTGTGGCCCGACCTGCAGCTCAGCGCTACCCCCCCCGCTGCCACCGTCACCTCCGTCAGCAGCTTCTCCCCCGACAGCAGGGGCAGCTCCCCCCCCGGAGACTGGACCGTGGTGGAGGTGGAGACCCAGCACTGAAGAAAACTGATCCACTAAAGAACACATACATACATCAACTGAAGGAAGGGTTTAAAAGTTTGGGAAATACTCCTACAGTAGTTGCTTTCTGGCAGAGAAACAGCAAGGAAGCGAAATCATACCACTCTATACCATACGCTTTGCTTAGCTTAGCTTAGCTTAGCAGCTCTGACAAAGGTGGCCAAATCAACCAACCAACACCTCAAGATTACTAATTGAATAACTCCAGGAAGTCACTGCCCCCAGCCAAAATAAGGGTTGTGGTATACATGGTAAACCTTGATTTGCAATCACAAGAAGGTTAAGCATTTATCCCGAATGGCTAACCTTAGAAAACAATTGGCTGGATGGTAAACCTCAATTTGTGAAAACGCTTGTTAATAGTTGGGCATTGACTTTGAATGCCTGATTTTAGAAAGATTGCAGCTAGACGGAAACCCTCGATTTAAAAAAAGAAATTGCTAGATAATTATGTTTAGGCATTTACCTCAAAAAGTTGTGACAAAGCTGTGTGCTAGATGGTCACTGGATTTGAAATTAGCAAGATGTCAAGGCGTCGATTTGATTAGTTGATGTTTGGTATATTGCTAGGTAGCGAGTCCTGCTAACATTCTAGCAAAGAGTGCACATTTAGGATTTTCGATCCAAACACGAGCAACTAAAGTTCGGCCTTTCAGACTACTTCTTGTAAAATCCGTTTTTACCTTCTTACAGTCTCTGTGAATGTGTTATTTTGGACAGGGCAGAGCTCGCTGTTTCCCCCGTTTCCAGTCTTTATGCTAAGCTACGCTAAACAGTTAGCTTGCTTTTGCTTCATATTTAGTGGATAAACTTGGGAGTGGTATCAATTATTTTCTACTAACTCTTCCAGAAAGCAAATGATCATATTTTCTAAATGTTAAATTATGACTTTAATCATTTAGATGTGTACATCCTTAGACTGAAATTAAGTGTTTTTATTGTAAGAAAATAACATTCTTACATAGGAGTCGTATCTGAAGCCATATAAGGATTTCAAACGATAAGAATTGTTTTAATCCCATCACAGATCATCACATGACCCCATCAAACCGATTTCATATCAACACACATATTATTATCAGATGATCAAATACTCTGTAGACGCACCGTGTCATTGATTCTAACCTCGCATTAGAGCATGTTTCCGTTCCAGAAGCACTGATTCTCCCTCCTCTGTTCTCTTACTCTGAAACACTATTTTATATTCACTCTGTCATGTGTTGTGTATAGTCTCTTTTATACGTGT